AGCCTTCACGATATCCGGTACAAGGGACAGAGAATATTGTATGAACTTGGTCTTCAGGAGGCGCTCGCCCATTACGCCGGGAGTGATCCGATCCAAAGCCACGTAGGGTATTTGGACTCTTACTATGGCTTTGGTCCCTTTGCATTCGAACTTCTGAAAGGTTATGACTGCCCGGCTTATGCGACCTATCTCAACTCGAGTTTCTATGTTACCGAAACATCACGTACCCATCTCAACAGCATTTGCTTGTTCGAGGTGAACAACGACTATCCAATAGCTCGCCATAGTTCCACACATTATGTGACTGCAACTAAGAACGTCAATTTCGTCGTCCGTTCAATTTCCACGATTGGGAACTATGACTACATGTTCAGTTACAGCTTCTTCATGGATGGTTCAATTGCGGTCGAAGTCCGGGCTTCAGGATATATCCAAGCCGCCTTCTATGCCAAGAATGAGGATTATGGTTTTCATATTCATGATCAACTCTCTGGCTCTATGCATGATCACGTTCTCAATTTCAAAGCCGACTTTGATATTCTTGGAACCAACAACACCGTTGAGATCATGAGCCAAGTACCTCACACAACTACATACCCTTGGTCGAAGGGGAAGGTGTTCAACACTATGAAACTCAACCGCTCGTTCATTCTAAATGAAGACGAGAGTCGGTTTGACTGGAGTACCAACAGTCAGGCACAGGTTCTGGTGGTTAATAGGGACGAGAAGAACAAGTTTGGCGAGAATCGCGGATATCGAATCCTTCCCTATACCGGTGCTTCCCACCTGACTGTCCAAAATTCCAGCGTTCTCAAAAACAGCGCCAACTGGGCCAATCACGACATCATGGTGTCTCAGCGGAAGGATACAGAACCCCGAAGCGTGCACAAGTATAACAATCAGGATACCAAGGACCCTCCTGTTGACTTCAACAAATTCTTCGATGGCGAAAATTTGAATCAGACTGACTTGGTCGTCTGGCTTAATCTTGGGATGCATCATGTGCCCCACACGGTGAGTTTGCTGTTATACTGACCGAAAATATACCCCGGGTGGTAAATTTTCGCTGCTGCGAATGTTCAATACTGATTGGTTCATGTCTAGGGTGACCTTCCCACCACTGTCTTCACGACGGCTCATTCTGGTGTGCAGTTCATGCCCTCCAACTATTTCGAGGTTTCACCCAATGTGGAAACTGTGAACATGGTGCGAATCAATTATTCCGATGGTAAAACTACTGATGTGATTACCTTTGGTTCTTTCAATGACACGTGCGAGCTCTCTTATGAGCCGACTTTCCCTGACTTCTGGGAGTACAAGGGGGATGTGGTTGTGAGAAAGTTCCCGTATAATCCAAATGACCCTTACTATGAGGCTACCGGTATTTGAAGTCGTGCTGAGGGAGACTATGAGAGGAAATCGGGGGTAGTTAAGTGTAGAACTGAGATTAGGAATCCTGTCCATGGTCGTCCTTTATTATTTGATTCTATTATACATGAGTTTAACTGGCTCAGTTCTGGATAATGTTTTTTTCTAAAATTGAAATTCGCGAGGCTCTCTATGCTGAACCAAGAAGGTATATGACAAGTAGACCGATACTGTTACGAAAATCCACAATAAACAGCTAGTATTAAAGTAAGCGATGAACAATGGAGAGAATGGAAATACAGCATATGTCGGAAGAGCCCTGAGGATTGCGAATGGTAAGAAGATGCAAAGTTGAGGGGTAGGATTGTCATCACCCAACGCCCATTCGTAAAATAAAGGAGGAAAATGGCTCATCTACTCTCCGTCTTCCGTAAGAAATATAAAAAGATCTTGTTGATTTATTATCCGTTCGTCCTACTACCAAAGGAATTGGCTGGGTGCCTCCCCAACCAATGTACTTCAAGTCACGTGCTCTCGCGAGATCTTCGTGCAGTTGGGAAGGAGCGGGACCGACTCCACCGCCATCAACTTCCGACTGCGCCTTGTACAGCCTTTCCTTTCGCCTGATTCTTATATGTCTTTCCATTTTTCGTAATATTTCTGTACATACTTGGGCGGTTGTATTTTTATCGCAATGGGGGACGCAATGCAAGTGGATGGCTTTTCCACAGCCGGAGTGAAGCGCAAGGCCGACGACGACCCAGAGGGCCCACGCCCAGCTCGTAGAATCCGGGTGAGCATCCAAAGGACGAGTCATAGTAAACCCATTCAGCCATGAAATACATTCGACTAATTGGTTTGTCAAAACTCTAGGCGCTAGATCCGGATGTGGTCAACAAAATAGCGGCAGGCGAAATCATTGTCGCACCAGTTCACGCCCTCAAAGAGCTCATTGAAAATGCTGTAGACGCAGGCTCAACATCTCTCGAGATTCTTGTCAAGGACGGTGGACTGAAGCTGTTGCAGATAACTGACAATGGAAGCGGTATCCAGGTTGGTCGTTGTCTAGTTTGTTCCGGCTGTCATACACACAGAAGCTAACCAAGCACTCAAGAAAGAAGACTTGGCGATCCTGTGCGAGCGCCATACCACTTCAAAGATATCTTCTTTCGATGATCTTGCGTCTATCGGCACATATGGCTTCCGTGGTGAAGCATTGGCAAGCATCAGCCACATTGCCCATCTGACAGTGACTACTAAAACTAAGGATTCCAGTCTCGCTTGGAGGGCCTACTACATTGATGGCAAGCTAGCTCCTCCCAAGCCAGGCCAATCCGCCGAGCCAAAGGGTGTGGCAGGTCGCCCCGGGACCCAGATTACAGTCGAGGACCTGTTTTACAGCATCCCCACTCGCCGAAGGGCTTTCCGGTCTACAGCAGACGAGTTCAACAAAATCATCGAGATGGTTGGAAGATACGCGATTCACTGCGACGGTGTTGGCTTTACCTGCAAGAAAGCTGGCGAGTCTTCCAACAGCCTTTCAATCCAAGCCCAAGCCACTGTCAATGACCGTATCCGCCAGATTTACGGGAGCGCCGTTGCAAACGAGCTCATTAGTTTTGACGTCTCAGATTCGAGATGGGGGTTTAGGGCTGACGGATTCGCATCAAATGCCAATTACAATATCAAGAAGACGACATTCCTTCTCTTCATCAACCATCGAAGTGTTGAATCTTCCGTAATTAAAAAGGCACTGGAGCAAACGTACGCCAGCTTCTTACCAAAAGGAGGGCACCCTTTTATCTATCTAAATCTATCGATCGATCCGGCCAGGGTTGATGTCAACGTACATCCGACCAAGAGAGAGGTGCACTTCCTGAATGAAGATGAGGTCATTCAAGAAATATGCAAGCATATTGAAACAAAGCTGGCTGCGGTAGATACGAGCCGGACCTTTATGGCACAGACTTTACTACCGGGAGCGCCAAAGCCAGTAACAGATCTGGACGCCGATGATGGCTCGGCGAAGCCCTCCTCAGCCATCGGCAAGCGACCCGTTAGAAATCCAAACTCCCTGATAAGAACAGACACGGCGGAGCGCAAGATCACCAGCATGTTTTCTCAAACCACTGGCGGCAGCTTCCAATCCAAAACAGCTAATCGCGAAGACGAACCATTGGCTGTGCCTGAGAATATCGAATATGAGGTGACCGATCGTTCGCACACGACATGTAAATTAAAAAGCGTCAAAGATCTACGAGCCGATGTACGGGAAGATATTCATACTGAACTTACGGAAATATTTGCATCACATACATTCGTTGGAATTGTTGACGAACGACGGCGCCTGGCGGCAATCCAGGGTGGCGTGAAGCTCTATCTGATTGATTATGGTCGAACATGCTACGAATATTTTTACCAGCTAGGCTTGACTGACTTTGGGAATTTCGGTGCAATTCAGTTCAATCCGCCTCTCAACCTCCTCGAACTCTTGCGCATGGCTGCTGAGGCGGAAAAGGAGGCTTTGGGTGCTTCGGATGAGGAGTTTGATGTAACGGCCATCACGAAAAGGGTCTCTGACCAGCTAATTGAACGCCGCGAGATGCTTCTGGAATACTTCTCCCTCGAGATTTCTCCCACAGGCGACCTAGTCTCTATCCCACTCCTTGTCAAAGGCTACACACCACCATTAGCAAAGCTCCCACGCTTTCTGCTGCATCTAGGCCCCAGCGTCGAGTGGAACGAAGAGGCTGGCTGTTTTCGAACCTTTTTGAGAGAACTGGCCACCTTCTATGCTCCTGAGCAGCTTCCTACCTTGCCAGGGGGCGAAGGCGGCCAGCGAGACGAGGATATACCACCCGAGACTCGCACCAGGAGACAGCATGTACGGTGGGCGGTTGAGCATTTGTTTTTTCCAGCGTTTAAGGCGAGATTGGTCGCCACAAAGTCACTTATGGATGGGGGCGTTCTTGAAGTTGCCAATTTGAAAGGTTTGTATCGGGTTTTCGAAAGATGTTAATGATATATGTGGTTTTGTCGGGGATAAAGATATGAAGTTGCATTACTTTGCCAGATATTTGAGTATTCTAGATACAATGAAGCATTTGCTTCGTGATTAAGTGGCAGGGGGGAACTTCCTAGACTTCAGCTAATATGATATCAACCAAGAGGGTTCCAAGTTTGTCTCCGCCTTTTCTTGTGGAAAAAATTCAGCTTTGCCACCTAGTGCGAATGATTCAGTGATACTGGCCTCGCCCAGCCTTTGCATATGAAACGCCCAACAATTATCGAAGTTAAGAGCTTGGAAAATGCATCATCTTGTATCCACTGATTTGAAAGTATAGATGGTTTAGACTGAGGAATATAGCTTGTCAATATTCTTCCAGGATTCGTAGACTTCATTTCTTGGTGTCTGTGACTCACTCCAAAAATACCCGTCTTCACACTCTCGCAGATGGAAGCTCCTACTACAAATTTAGAATACTTGAATCACACTGCTCATATCAGCCGTTCCAATGTTGAAGTATAGGATATAAGAACATCTCGTCGCCGGGTCATCGGTGCCAACAAGCCCAAGCTCCTCACCATAAAAGCACACTGCCCAAACTTCTTCGGTCAAAGTCTGTTTCAACATGAAGTTTCTTGCTGTTTGCCTTGTGTTCTTTGCTGCTTCCATGGCATCTCAGAATGAGTATACACCCTTCTGCACGGTTCTTTTCCATCAGCAACCCCATTGCTGCAAGGGTGATTCGTATGAATTTTTGTCCGGCTCGTCATGCTCAAAGCGTGAGTATTTGCACATCATCGCTCATGCTCCGATCCTTGAGTAGCATACTAATACACTGATTAATCTCCTCCAGCCCGACAGAAACCTACGAGTCTTGAAAACTTCAAGAACCTTTGCAATGAGGAGGGCCGTGTTCCCAAATGTTGTGGTCTTTCTATTGTGAGCTACGCCAGGACGAAGACATGATCTTGTTGCTCTTTGACTAATATGATTAGTTTGGCATTGAGCTCTCCTGTAAATCTGCTGTTTCCAAAGTTTGAAATGAGCGATATTACCCAGAGGTAAACTTCGATGGCATGGACATCAGGATTGAGGAGAGACTACGAGGTGTTTATTAATATTTGCAATTCTTTCGAGATGGAACATAGGTGAAGGCGTGGCTTATTTGTAGGGATTCCGTAGAGATGTTACTTACTTAATTTTTCGCAACTTCAATCAGATAACCGGATACAGAACACGGTACATTATCCCTAGCCCCTGATCTTTCTTGGTGTCAGCTAGCCAACCAGTTTTGGCTGCACCGAAAGTCAAGTTCCTCTTCTTCTCGTAAACCCCGGTGATGATGCGTTATTGACATAGCTTCATCCATGAATAAGTCTTGCCAATCGCAAAGCACGCCAGTTCTTAGGTTTCAAATGGGAAATAGGGACAATATTCTGAAAAAAGAAAACCTATGCGATCTGGGCAGTGAAGGAAGTCAAATGCGATTAAGAAAAGGAAGTCAGTAAACACAGAACAAACTATGTCCTAACTACATCAAATCACATTCCTTCTCTTCGCCCTACTAGAAATCGCAGCTTCATGGTTGTTTCATGGAAGTAGAATGGCAATCAGTTGTGAAGTCAGAGGGTTGCTCAAGATATGCAGTCGACTGTCAATAAATTACGATGTGATGACGGAATATAGCCCAAAGTACCAAAAATAATCTCTATATATCATAACTTTTCCTTGTTACCAAATCCAAACTTTGCTTTACTCTATGGCTTGCTCTTCTTCTTGTAGGCAATGAATCTGCTCAGGTTCAGCACTGCCTCATCCACTCTTGCCCTCAGCTCGGACTGGGTTCTCTTGTCGACCGACTTGGCCGCCGCCTTAGCTTTGGGGAGGATCTCCTCCAGGTGCTTGAGGTAGTTGTCCTTCCAGAACACCTCCTTGTCACAGGCGAAGTTCTCATCTCCGTATACATCAAACAGCTGGTTCAGGGCCTCGACCGCATCGGCAGCCGGGGTCTGGGGGAGGGCAGCAAGCACGGTGAGGAGGAAGGTGCCGATTTCGCGGTTGAGGTCGGCCGGCGCAGGGTCAAGGGCAAGCTGGCCAAGGACTCCGATGCACTTGACGCCCAGGCCCTGGAAGGGATCCTCCGAGTTCTGGGTGGACTCGGAGCCGTGGGTGGCCTGGTACAGGGAGATGAACTTGCGCTGCTCGTTGATCTTAAGCGGAGTCTTGTCGCGGAGGGTGCGGGCGACAGCCCAGGCGAGGCCGGTGACCTGGGTGGCCAGGGTGACGTCGGCGGTGTCGCTGGAGAGGATGGGGACGATGGCGTCGGTCCAGATGGACTTGGCGACCGGCTCCCAGGTTTTCTGGATGCCCTTGTTGTGATCGTGGGAGAAGTCGATCAGGGAGACCGACCAGGCGATGTTGTTGAGGGCGGAGAGCGAGAGGGCTTGGAGTTTGATGGTTTCTTCGTCGCCGGCCTGCAGAGCGACGACGCGCACAAGCTGTGGGATGGCTTTTTGAACAAGGGCTTTCAGGATAGGGAGGTCATCGATGGACTCGGCATCGTCGGCGTCCTCAGCACCAGTGACCATGTCCATGTCGGCCTGCATTTCATCATCATCCATGTCGTCGTCCTCGTCCTCGTCCAGGACACGGCTATCTTCATTATCGTTATCGTCTTCTTCGCCTACATCAATGTCATCCATGTCTTCGTCATCTTGACCAGCAGCCTCGCCTCCTGCCTTGGGCTTTGACTCTGGCTGCTCTGATTCATCCCCTTGCTCTCCATTCATGGTAGTCCCGATCGAAGCAATGATCTCCAAGGCGAGCTCCTGCTTCTGGTAAGGGTTTGATGATCCGGTTCCGTTCGACTGGGCTTTGCTGGAGCCGATTTCTGCAATGGCTTTGGAGAGGGTAGGTATTAATCGTGAGTCGTCAACAATATTCAGCTCTGTGGAGACTTCCACGCCTTGTAGCGAGAGGTAAACGTTATGGAGGACGCCGCAAGCCAGGATGCCCTCGTCCGAGGTTTCCTTGCTAAGGACCTGGAGTGATTCATAGACGGACCTGTTGCCGTCTGAGACGATGGTCGTTGCAAGCTTCTTGTTGTCCTCGGACAGAATCATAAGGCAGGTGAGAGCGTCATTGCGCAGCTCGTTGATAACATCAGCCAGGTCGCTTGTGGGAATGAAAGAGTACAGGAAGCTGGTAAGACTTGAGTTGGAGGCGATGGTTTCCAGTATCTCATCCTGAGCCTCGGCCAATGCTGTTAACAAGGACAGGATAGATGCCACGATGCTTAAGATGGTAGATTGCTCCAATTTGGGTAGCTTAGAGAAAGGTGTGTCTTTAGATGAGAACTTGGCCGTGGCCTTGCGATAATGTCAGAACGTATCATTGAAAGAGCCAAGTCTGTACTCACATTTCTTGTGGCATGCTCAATAGCAGTGAGAATGTCCAGCCTGTATAGGTGGACACAGAAATCGGCCTCCTCCTCCTGGGCAATGACTTGAAGAATGCCCCAGCCAGCAGCACGGCTCTCAAGCGCAGCGTCGGTCAGAGTCTCGTTGATGATGATATGTACAATTTGCTCGCGCAGCAGCAACTTGCGACATTTCGTGTCCTGGATGATGTTCGAGATGGCCGAGGCAGCGGCAGAACGAGACTTGGGGTCGGAGCTCTGGAGGTCTTTGATGACGGGCAGAATCTTGGATTCTCTCAGAGCTGCAAGTTCTGGGTCTGAAGGCGGCTTGACAGGCTTTGCAATTGGATCGCGACGAGCGGCATTGCCTCTATTCCTTCGTGACTTGCCCATTTTTTGTGCTTCAATGATATACGATTGGTTCAGACTTGGTGATAAACTGAGTTTTGCTTGACCTGGGGAATTCTCGGATTTTGTGGTGTGGTTTGTTAAAAGTAGGTAGGTAGGATCTTCAAGAAGACTTTTTTGTGTGCCTTTTTTTCACTTGGTCATTGAAAACATGGATGGGGACGAGTAATTCCCAGTCATGACAACATCCAGTGGCATCTCAACATTGATAAACAACTCAAAGAAAAACCTACAGGATTGAACTCCTCAAGGATAAATCAACTCTATCATTGCATTTTAGAATAAAAAGAAAGAGATAAAAATAACATGCGATGTATTTGTCGTGGTGCTTCCCTCGAGTGTTCATTACACAGTATGATGGTATAGGGTAAGATAGGTAACACCGACTTGTCGAGTGGTCTCTAGGTCTGGTCTTGAACTGATCTTCTTGATCTGCAAGTCATAATGACGAACTTGAAGATAATTATGTATCCGCGGGGGAGGAATGGAAAGCCAGGCTTGTCGCATTTGTTGGAGGAATGGTTCAGTCGCTAGATGAGAGGGGTCTGTCGGATCTGAGGCAATGTTGAGACACTATTCAAACATTGGTAGAGCTGCACACGCGCTCCTGAAATTTCCTCCAGATAGCAAGGCGAATTGGCCGATGTATATAGCGGTGGACGATATGATGAGTGCGAAACAGGCTATCAAGCAAATTAAATGAGCTGCTCGCTTTTTCGCAGCCTTATAGGTCTATAACAGGTCCATGACGAGGATGCGGCAGGACACGACTGTCAACTAAACTCTCCAAGCAAGGGCTACGTCACCTGTTCCGAAGCAATAGTACTTAACAGATTGGTGATTAGGAAAACAAATATCCGTCATTCTGCCACACAAGAACGCACAAACAATACTGGATAGGACATTTCGCCGGCTGAATGCTGGTGATGGTGATCGGCCGCTGTTACCTCCCTGTAAGGAATGTTTGGGCCCTGTAAGTCCCCACGGTAGACGCCTTAGCACTATCAATGTGACTGTAGCTTCGGGCTACGTCTTAGCGACCAGCTATACCTTACATAGCGACCAGCTTACTTTTGCCCAACTGCTACCTTGTCTTTTCTACTCCCGACGTGCGCATCGCAGCAGCATTGGCTTAATTACGCCCTCCTCTTGTCACGGTCTACTGAATCCTTTGATTCTAGCCTCGCCATCTTCAACTGTTTTTGCTGGGCGATTGCGGGGTCGCAACATGTGAAGGGCTGCACGAACCGAAGCTATCACCGTCGCCGCAATCTCGACTCCATCAGCCTCGACTCTGCTTGCGACCACTCCGTCGATATTTCGCTCGAACCCGCCCCGGCGTGGCGATCGCCTCGATAGATATAGCAACTCCCCGGAAGGATAATGGCCGCGCCGCCACGGCGAGGTCGAGCTATGTCACGTCTTTGGGCGAACGACGCCGAGTTGGCCAAGAAGGACGACGACCACCTTGTCAAGAATGGCCGCCAATCGAGCCAGTGGCAGGCTTCCACACGGCTCCCACGCCGGCGGATCATCATGCGACTGGCTGCTTATGCTTTTGTCTTGTTCATTACCGTCTTCATACTCGTTCGGCTCTTCCGTCCATCAGATACCGGCGCAGGGCGATACACCGGCAGCGATCGGTCAATGTACAATTCGCTGTCGCAACAAAGGTCGAACCAAGCTGGCGGTAGCGGCAAAGGAAGCGCGGCAAAAGAGACAGCTAGGACCTATACTGGTCCTGTCAAATTCCCAGCATTGGGGCAGTCGCTTCAAGCTATTAGCGCTACGGGTGGGAAGCAACCGAGGAATCGCAATGTATTGTTTGCGACGGCGAGCCTGAAGAGCGCAAATTCATTGATTCCTTTGGCTTGTAAGATGAGCAGGGAACGTCAAAACTATGTTCATTTCGCTTTCATTGGGAGAAGCGAGATTTCTTTGCAGGATCTCCTCAAGATTAACGGGGAGGACGAGACATGCCAGATGATCATGCACGGTGAGTACTTTGTAGAGACTTTCTCCCTACTCTTCTTCCATCCTTTTTAACTCGCGTGCGAAAACGAGTTCGTAAAAGCTAACAATCCATGGTAAGATGCTCGACCTGATTTCCCAGGCACGTCCACTGAAGCACGAATGATGGTGTCAACTATTCGAGCTCTCCGTAGGTCCAAACCAACTTCCAGTAGTTTGATGCTCTGGCTGACAACGATCATGAAAAGACCACATACATGCATTTATGCATCCCCAGGCCGTGTTGATCGACTCAACTGATGCCGAGGAAGAGTACTTCGTTCTTGGTACCAGGGATCAGATTCAAGCTATGGATAGAGCCGCTTTGATCGAGCTACCGGACCCTTCCAACACGCAGTTCTCTTGGATAACAAAGTTGGATTCGTCCTCATTGGCAGGTATGTGAAACATGAACATGTCTATTGATTCGTCCGCGATTGTTGACAAGTATGAAGCATGGGACAAAATTGAACTCGATATTTTGATCCAGGCACCTGCCCGTGGCGCTGCCAATCTTGGAAGATTGCTACGATCGCTTTCTAAAGCTGATCTGAGTGCTATGGCTATCCCTCATATTACCATAGAGCTTCCCCATGCCGTTGATACTCAAATCGACAGGACAATAGCTGATTTTGAGTGGCCGACGGCCTATCTTGCCTCTGGAAGCCCTGCGCGTATGGTTTCTCTACGCCGTCGGATTCCCCGCCAGAAACTCACAGAAGAGGAGAGCTCATTGCGCTTTATGGAGTCATATTGGCCCAGAAACCCTTCAATGTCCCACATCCTTGTTCTGTCACCTCACACAGAGCTCCATCCTCAATTTTTCCACTGTATGAACTCTCCATTGAAAACTAACATCGAACATTCGTTAGAAATTTATACTGACTGCAACTAGATTTGAAATACACTCTCTTGCACCATAGGTTTTCCAATGCTGCCATGCTTCAGGACTGGAATTCCCATGTCATGAGCTATGGCTTCTCATCACCCAAGACTCTGCTGGACATGTCGGAGCCGCTGGAAGTGCCAGGACGAGAAGCTTCCGAGAAAGAAGGCGGTGCTTTTGTTTGGCAGGGCCCGAACAGTGATGCAACTTTGTTCGCTGGTAACAAATGGATAGAGCTTCACAGTTTCATCTCACGCGGGATGGAGATCCAGGACTCTGATTCTTCGGTGACGTGGCCGCGCAAAGAAACCAGCAAGAAGCACCCGGCTTGGCTGGAATACGCCCTGCAGCTTTCCCGCTTAAGAGGATACTACACAATCTACCCAGGTAGCGACACAGCGGAGGTCATACTGGGTATTCACGATGACATCCCCGACGTGCCTGAAGAGTATAGCGAGGATTCAGAAGCGCAGAAGGATGCCAAGGGCGACAGCGCCAGAGACCAAGCAACGAGTTTGTTCGATGCGGATTCAAAAGTCAGCGTCTTGTCGACTCTATCCGGGGAGGGCGGTTTACCCTCATTATTAAACTTGCCCTTACTCTCGTGGGATGGCAGAGAAATATCGCCAGAGATCCTCGAGCGGGACGCGCGTGAGTATGCGGCGAAATTCCGCCGCGAGGTGGGACAGTGTGGTGACACTACGATACCCAAGGGGCCCGACAAGTACGCTCGGGATTTATTCTGTACGCCCAAGGAGGAAGATGTATAAGTAAAGTTGCCGGTTCGCGACGTACCCTGGTGGTCGCACGCGCCGCCATTCCGAGTGCTTCCTTGTTTTGTTTATTATCTTTGGGGTCCCAAAAAATATAGCGATGATCCCTCTGCTTGCTCATGGAAATAGTAGTTGCATAGCGAAATATCATGTCATTTGTACAGTACAGGCTGGAAAGAAAGGAAAGCTAGAGATGGATATCCGTCATACCCACCCGAAAACCATCCCGAGAGCCCTTACTCTGTCATTGATGGCAATCCATCGTAGGATCATGCATGTTGCAACCAGACAAGTTGCCAAAACCCCAAGACTCTGGATGAATGAAAATGCGTCAGAAGAGTTGTTTCTCAAGAATATGTATTGGTCGAGGATACGAGAGAGTTTCCAACTTACCAGCTGTGTCTTCCACCCTGACTGAACAATGGCCGCCTTCTGGCTGTACTGATTCACAGTCCCTGGGGTATATCATCAGCCAAGTCCGACACCAAACCCGCTTGGAGCCTCGGTTTAAATAGCAAACTTACTCATATAGTTGCCAACGCCCAGCAGCAGAGTCATGACGGAGAGGAGCCAGAAGACGGCGCCGATCGGCTTGGCCATCTTGAGCTCGAGCTCCGTCGGGGCGCGCTTGATGTGGAAGGACATGGTGATGACGATGGACGCGATGGCCATGTACACGGAGAGCTTCAGGTATGATAGGAAGGCTGTTTTTGTGCTTGCTCCTGGCCAGGCGGCGAACAGCGCCCGACACCGAAGCATGTTGGTTAGAGATTTGACGGGGACAAGACTTTCAAGGCGGGAAGGGAAGAGGGGGGACTGAGGCTCACTTCTCTCGTTGGCGCAGTGGTCGCGCGCATCGCTGCTCTCGTTCTCGAAGAGCAGGGGGCCAAAGGGAGGCCAGGCGAAGAAGACGGATGAGCCTGCGCGCGTGTATCTAGAGGTCAAGTCCGCCTAGTCAGTATAAGCTGTATAGATCGGGGAATTGAGGGAGAAGGGGGAAACAAACCCAATCTCGCCGACTTCTATCGGGGTTGTGAGGGAGGACAGAGGCACGCAGAAGCGGTCCGTGAGGTCCTCCTCGTCTCTCTTTGTGTGCGCCATGATGCTGGTGGTTGATGTTGAACGGTTGATGAAGATGATGCCCGGGGAGATAATTGCGGGGACTGAGTAGATGGGTCAAGTGGTCGGGAGGTCATGAGACATGTGTGTGCAATTGACGGATGACGGCCGAGTATTATTAATCTTGAGAATATCAATTGGATCTGCTTTGGTTTTATAACATGGCTAGAAATGAATAAAATAACAACCGACGTTAGGTACTAATTCAGTGACATAGAACAAGCCGAGATCTAATCTTGTATTTGCATCGGTTATAGTTGAGTTTAGCATCTAGCTCCCTTGTCGTCACATGACCCACATATTCCACCATCAACTCCACAGATCTCTCGCTGCATAAAAGCAAGAGGCAGCTTGGAGTTTGTAGTTGATATCACCAGTGTTGTGATTTAATTGTCCCGAGTATCGAAGGCAATTCTCTGGCTTCGACATTCAGGATACCTTGAGAAAGGGAGGCTGTCAGCCATGGGGCGAGAAGTGTAATTCAGCCGACAGAATATACTGCTTTACAGCTTGGAAGTCCGTTTGGGCGGGCTGCTTATCTTTAGAACTGACACCCAGGATACATAGTCACATAGAGAACTGCCATATTGTTCGTTCTCATTTAAACCGTATCAAACCCCCAGATATCGCTCCATCTCTTTTCATCCTCTCGAACAGGGCCAGCCAGGCGCCCAAATCTAGCCGCGTGCCCCGTGTTAGCCTCGGGCAAGCACATCCACTCTCTCACGCAATCAGGGACCTCCTCCTTGATGTGGGCGATGCATATCAGAGCCTGCTGATCTGACAAGCCCGGGATCGAGACTGTCCCGGCTTTGGCGGCTTCGCTTTCTACGATTTGACCACCGCGGTAGGTCTTCGACTCTCCGTCGCTGAGGAACAGCACGCACTTGTCTCGGACACCGTCGTCCATGCCGCTGAATGCCTCGTCCAGCACAACGATGTCGGTGCCTTTGATCATTGCCCGAATAAACAAGGCCACGCGCTGAGCACTGAATGAGATCTCTCCAAACATGTAATCGTCCGCCCATGAGAGGTCCCCATCTTGGGTAGTTGTCGGCTCCAGGTTTGGCTTAAGTTCTGGGGTGAACCATCTCAACGCCGCATCCACCTTCCTCTTAGCCTCGGCGTCGAGGCGTGGAATAGACTGAAGTGTGCTGGCCCACGCATTCTCAATCACTTTCCGGATGGTCAGATTACGGGGTATGTGTTGATGTACCTCCGGGCTGGAGTGTCCAATGCGGGCCTGGATATCCCATAGCGTCAGTGGCAGTTCCCCAGAGCCCACCTCGGGGAGGCGGCTTCGCCCAAACAACCTGAGAGGCAGGGAGTAGGCCTGCGGGTGATCCGAGCAGAGGAGCGAGACGATCGTCGTCTTCCCGGAGCCGTTGGGGCCGAACACTCCCCAGCGCTCGCCACGACGTACGGTCCAGTACAGCCCGTCCTCCTCCCCTTCATCCGTCCTGCGCGTCCAGTTACCCAGCGCGACCTTGTCGCCGTAGCGGACTTTGCACCCGCTCATCTCCACCACAGGTTCAGCGTTGGGGTTCACAGGAGACAGTTTGTGAATGGGCCCCTGGGAATCCTCATCATGGGATGTCGTCGAGGCCGGGGAGGGAATCGTCCGACCAATGTCCTCCAGTGTTTTCAACGGGAGGGTCGGATCTTCGCTTACCGTGCCATTCTCAACGCCCCGGACATACTTCCTGAGACCGTCGAGAACGACGTCCCTTGGGCCCATGGACGCCACCTGGCTGTCCGTCCGCAGGTAGATGAGATGCGTGACCCAGTCAGGCAGAGGGTCCTGGGGCCGGGCGCTGAGCACCAGCCGCGGGCTCGCCTTTTCAGCAAGCGATTCCAACAAAGGACTCAACCCAGTCACGGTGGGCGGGTCTAGGCCCATGAAGGGCTCGTCGAGGAGTAAGACCTCTGGCTTCCGCAAGAGGGCTCTCGCAATCCGCGCCCGTCGTCCCTGCCCGTTGCTGAGAAAGGTGACGGGGAGGGTGAGAAGATGCGACAGCCGCAAGTCCTTCACAACACGGTCGAAGAACTCGGGCGAGACGTCGCCGTCCTCCTCTCCGGGGAGCTTTGGCAGCGGGTTCAGCTCTGTGTTGCCGAGAAGGAAGTCCTGGAGGGACCAGTCCGTAATCTCTCGCCTCGACTCATACCGCGCGGACAGATAGGCCGAGGTGGTGGCCGAGGAGCCAGCCCCCATGCTCTGCTCTGCGTCGAATCCCACATACTGCACAGCTCTATTGGGGCTCTTTAATCGTGTCGTGACGGCATCTGATGAGAGATATGGGTACGACCTTGCGGTCGGCGGGTCGCAGAGCAGCCGACCTCTCAGAGCCTGCAGGAATGTCGTCTTCCCAGATAGAGACGGGCCAACAACGCACCAGTTATGGGGTGTCGCGGACCAGGAGGGGAGCTCGAAGGTTAGGTCGCGGAAGAGCGGCGGGTTGGGATGCGAGGTTAGGGAATTGGGATGGTGGCGGTAGAAGGTGCCATTGGCGATGCGGATGATGGCGGAGCGGGATGTTGGGAGAGGCATCTTTTAGATGGGCCGCATTGGCTGGTCACGGCACATCTCAAATGCTTCGAGAAGCCGAGAATTGATAGATATAAGGCCCCATGGGAGCTGCTGGTGACTGGTGACGCACCGAGACCGGCGGCAAGCTGAAGACCGGTGATAGTCGGGATTAAGGTGGGGAACAGCTGTAGTTGCACTGAGGTGGTGGTTGTGGGGAAGAGAGCTTTGGTAGGCGGTATCAACTGAACGCGAGGCTGCCTGTAGCCTGCATCGACATACGGAGGGTAACCACCACCGCCATCAATCTTCAACGAGCACAACACATCCAACCCTCTTAACCAACTGCCCGCTCGAGCTTTCTCCCAGCTGCCATCGATTTCGAACAAACACACCACTTAATTACCCGCAAGTTTCCGCAAGGAGACCCAAGCACACACAGACAAAATGGTGAAGCTCCCCGCCTTATACCGCCCACCTACCATCCAAACCCCCAGCTAACCGTCCCTCCCCATCACAGTCCCTCCGAATCGTACCAGAGAACAGCCAGGCCACCTCCTTCAGCCACGCGAACCGCACCACCTCGGCGCCCTCCGCCCCGGGCGTCCACGACACCCTCCGCCACGGCGTCGCCCAGTCCCCCTTCGACGCCGCCGCCGGCAAGCCCTCGTCGGCGCACCCCCTCGAGGCCCGCCTCAAGAGCTGGGAGGCCACCCAGGAGTCCCTCCGCATGGAGACCCTGCGCCGCACCTACGGCATCGCCGAGCCCGTCCGCCGCGGCATGGAGCTCAAGATCGTCCGCGACGGCGAGTGGCGGCCCCTCGCGCTGGGCGGCGGCCTGCCCAGCGTCCACGAGGACATCCTCAAGGGGAGGGAGGACATGATTAGCTGGGAGGACGTCTTCACCGGTGACGAGATGCGGGGCGTTCCTGGGGTCCACGATGAGATGGAGCGGAAGCTTAAGATGCAGTAGTGATTTTACTGGAAGGATTGATTAAACAAAGATTACGATAAATAGAGAAATTCATTCGGTAGCTGCGCTACACCAAGAAAATCATTTTGGACCCAAATATGAAATATCGTGGTAGCGTCAAGTTTCATAATGGAACGTTCAGGACGTGAGCCTAGACATGCGCTCGTTTTCCGGACTCTCTAGAGAAACGTAGGTATATGGGCATTTCAGTGCTCTTCGAGAAAGAAGACACAGGCCAGTTGTTCATGTATGACAGTCATAAAACGATACCTGTAATTCTATCCTGCTATGACTATGCTAGGCCAGTCCAAACAAAAACAAAAAATGCAGACGGTGTTCAGTCGCTCTGCAACATGACTTTGCACTATTGGGAAACGATTAAGAAAAGAGAATTACAGTTGTACAAAAAAAGATACGCCGATATTGACTCCGCTTCTCCGTCGGTGCAACACAATGATTTCATTGCTCATCAAACGCTTCTTCCCATGTCGCAAATGATAGTCCAAAGTGGGTTCGTAGACAGATAAGGAGAGTGAATGGGCAATGTCTTGGGGGAGAGGTGATGACACGAGAAGGGAATTTCCCAGCCCTGGCTCAATGTCGAGTGGTGGTACTTTTACTTCCTTTCGTCTCAGCTGCCGGGGGCCCCTGAAAGAGGGATGTCGTTGCGTTTGAGAATTGATGATACCGGCGCTTTCGGCCAGTGGTAGATTGCGAAAAGTAGATCCAGAAAAAGGAAAATGGACGCCAAATGAAGTGAACAAGACGAGACTTGGAGAGAAGAACCTGAGTTGATTCTCTTGGCGCTGCACATTGCCGGGCCTGCGGGCATCGCCTATAAAACAACGCAACATCCTCCTGAACGCTGGCGTTGACCGTCGCCGTTTCCTGCAGATGGGTTCTTACCACCTGCCTTCGGCTCTTCCTCGTCTAGATCCTGAGGTCGGATGCTCATATGAACCACATTAGGATTCTCCAGGCTGAAGTGGTATGCTGCGGCGCTCGGATTAGTTACATCGTCAGGAGAATGGGTCGATCGAAACCCCCAAGGAGAACCGAGGTGGGAAACGATAGGCAGCACCGGATAACTCACTCTTCAAAGGCTCCTTGTCGTCTAGAAGTTTGCCGAAATGAATAAGCCTGATGCTGCTTGGGCTTGCAGGCTTCGACTCCCAATCACTTCTCCATTCCCTCAATATCAACTCTTTCAGAGTGTAAACACTAATGCTGAACGGGTCCGGCTGGGAGTTCTCATTCTCCTCGGGGATGGGGACGTTTCTTCGGTTCAAATACCGAGCGTCGATCTTGTACGGGTGGCGGCTACCCGTGGTGAGCAACAGCGTGATATTGCATACAGGACCGGAATCCGGCCCGCCGCTCGCAACGGTGGTGATCTCGTCTTGGGCGGGACCGATCGCCATGGGTGATAGGGGAGAAGGGTCTACGTCCTTTCCCGCTGCTGCTGCTGCTGTCGTCGTCGTAATCGCCGCTGGTTTCTGGTCGACTTTTTCGGGCTGGGCTGGGGCGGCTGCTGTTGAAGCGTCGGCGGAAGCGGCTGCGACGGTTTCGGTGGCAGCCTTCTTGCTGGATTCTGGCTCATCCTTGGAGGGGCCTGAGCCTCCTTGGGAGGGCTGGGCGATGCTCTGCATTGGTACGGCGTCGCTTGGTTGTTCTAGGTGTGACTTGTCGTCGGTGGAAGTGTTGTTGTTGTCACTGTCCACAACAGAAGCCGCTGGAGCCGACATGACTTGTCCGTTGTATGCAGGGGCCCAGTATCAGGGTGCTGCCCCAGACGAGCTGAACGGGGGGTGTGGTGTAAAACTAGCGCAGCCAGACTAACACATTCGCGGCGTTGGGTAGGGAGGAAAGACGGGCGCCTCAACACGATGAATTGAGGCCAAAGGGTGATGAAATGTCTAGATAGCACTCTGGAAGGCGTGGAGTGTGGAGGGACATTAATCCCTTACGGCGTCGGGTCTGATGCAAGGACAGAACGATGGATGGATACATCATTAGGCGGGTCAGCAACAAGCTGCTGGGGGCTCGTCGGTGGGACTGTGCTAGCATGTAGCCTGTAGCGGGAGCCTGGAGGGCAGGTTAGCAGAGACCATCGGTGTGGGGGAGGCTGTGTGCAGCGCAGTGCCCATGCTATGCTGTACCGTCAATGTACAGTAGCGGCCATCCCCGTATCCATGCCCACATACTCGGACCAGCGAGTCGCCGTCTTCTAGTCTGGCAGTAGCCAAGATTTGTCGGCTAAACCTGTGTATGTCTGTTTGGCACTTTGTGTCGCCACTAAACTACCTCGCCTTGCAGTGCGTCAGGCCCAGCTTGTCGCCGTCGCTCGCTGTGCGTGATGGCGATGCACTAGAACCCACGCGGGACGATGCACGTTCTGGAAAGTGGGCAAAGGAAGTATGCATCCGCTCTCTGCATAACTCCCGATGCAAACACATTCGGTTTGTGAGTACGACTACCACCACCAACCCAGAGTCTCCCTCGCCATCTACGAGTATCCTCAGATTATCCCATCAACCCGTTTCACGTGCGAACATAACTTGATCTTGAACACAGCCATAGCCAAGGCGAACCATGTGCGTATCATCCATGTGCTAAGCGCACTTAGCACCCAGTAGTGCAGCCTCTAGCGAATTGGCCCGATCCTACGATGCTTGGCCACCTCCAGCCGTGGCTTCTTGTGGATGCGCTCCTCTTCTTCCATCGCTTCCACGTTGGAACGCCCGGTACCTATGCACATGTGCATGTAGGCGTGATGTATACGCAAACTACATGGTGATTGCCAGGCATCGGACCCTGTGTTCCTTTTCCCGATGGAGATTGGGGGCAGGGGAAGACGTATGTAAATTCCTCGCCAGGGTACTAATCGATCTGTGGTGTGACCCTCCTCCAGAGCCAGCGGCTGCCACGCCGTCTGAGACACTGACACTCTGACGAGAAGAAGGACTCCTAGGAGGATTCTCGTCGCTGCAGCTGGCCGCTCTATCTCGTTTTCCCTTGGTAGAGGTACGCAATGCATTACACCCCATTCTTCCGATGTCATTGCCAATGGATAAATACATATCTTATGTCGCAGCCATTCTCTGCAGTGTTGCCAATTTTGGCTTGGCCTATATCAATCAGTGTTGGTAATAATTAAGTAACATCAACCGCAGCTCGGAAGCCATCCGTACATGTGGGTGACCTCGAAGATCGCCCTCCAACACAGACATGGGATTTCAGCGCAGTTTGGGGAGCAACTCACACAACCAAGAATGAATAATTAAAAATGCAAATGCAAATTCTTTTCACTTGCCTGTTAATCCGGGAATACTATCTGTAACTGATATATAGGTACACAGCTGAGGGCGTTGCAGCGTGCCGCTCTCCATGTCACCCACCGCCGCGGTCGGATGACAGACTGGGGGTGGAGCCTCGGTATGAGACCATCCACTGGGAATGCCTCCAGAAGGCTCCTCTCTCCCCGGAGCACTGCAAGAACCATAATGCGACCTCCAGCCGATTGCGACATCTCCACCAGCAGATGAGCAAGATGGGCTGCGTTTTCCTCGGTACTTTGTTGCTGGCCCCTCCCCCGGCACTTGGCTTCGCCTCTGTCGACACGACTTGGAATTGGAATCCTCGGGCAATCCGAACGCCCTCCATTTCCATTCGGTCAACTATATAGCAGCCCCCACCTCCCTCACATACCTCCAGAGTTCGACACACACCTCCACATCCCCCAAGTCTGCTAGAACATCCCACAGGATCTAAACTCGCCAAGCTCATACTAGACATGTTGCATTCCAATAGTAGATTTTGATGCCGGGCAGGCCAGGCCTAAGGGTCGGCTAAAACTTAATTTATCTCGCTTGGGCCGGGGAATTCTGGGACATCATCCGGGCGGGCACGACGTGGAGTGGCATTGGAATCGCTACACCATAGGTCTAGCCCTGCCATGGCTTCTGGTTGTGGCGAGGAATTTTTAATTATTGCGGGCTGACAATGAGAAGTTACATACTTTCATTAATATGTTATTCTAATTATTACAGACACTGCTGTGCTCACGGTTCCCCGTACCTTTGGTGCCTCTTATTTTCTGCCTCCCGCTTATAGAGCCCGGCAGATGCAGGTCTGCAAGTCAGGTGGACAATCCTGCACCAGGGTTCCAATAGATATAGTTTCTACCCCAAATTGCGACGTAGACTGCGAAGCAAAGGTGATCAATTGGACTCTAAACTCATAATCACCAGCAGAGAATGGTGCACCAAATGACTTATCGTCCAAATCTGCGTGGACCACCCACTGATACATTTCAACTTCTGACATAGACTCGTAAGCCAACAGCAGACATTAACTAACTTGCCCTGCTTTAGTATATACACAAACTTCGAAAAACAGAGTATACAAATTCAAGGCCAATTTTACAGATCTAAAAGGTCCCCGTTGTTGGCCGAACCTTGATTAGGTTGGAGAACTGTCTGTGGTGCATGGGCGCTCACCACGTAGCTTGGTGTTGAGGGCCCGCCTCCGCCAAACAAGTCATCGGCTTGATCGATCCTCATGGCAGACATTTGCTGTGATCCAACGCTGGCAAAGTAGGCATCAGCGTCGTTGACAGCTTGTGCCAGGTTGCCTTCACTTCCGTTTGCTGAGGCTGCTGCTCTCGTCCGAGTGTCAATATTGTTTGGCTGGCCGCCCCTTCCAAACATGCTAATGCTCTTCTGATTGTCTGAGAGCATCCTATGCTTCTGCAGGGCAGGCGAGTCGTGTAGTTTCTTGGGGCGGGCGTTTCTGAAGACGGTCTGGACAGGCTTCAGGTAAATCGTTGCCAGTGTTCCAACATTAAGACACATCTCTTCGAGGGTGGTGTTGTCCAGTCGCTCGGACTCGGCCGTAATGGGTGGCTTTTCGCCCATCACAATCTGCTCCGCGGCCTTAATGTCCGTCGAGAGAAGTCGCCAATACATATATGCCCTGTCTCGGAGATCAGGGTTATCCGTCTCCTCCGTTGCCCACTTCAAGACTTTTGGTACCAATTCCTGGCCCTTCGTCGGTCGCTGAATGAAGAGCTTTACTGTTGCCGTCAAAAGCGCTAGTTGGACCTCCACGGGCTCTTCGGCAAAGTTGAACAAGAAGTCCTCCAACAGGGCATCACTGTTCTCAATTCTATCAGCATATTGACCGATAACCCAAACCATGGCTGCCTTGGCCTCGGGCTCGTCAAGAGAGTCGAGGTGTTCGCAAAGAGTGCCGATGATAGATTCGTATTGGTCGGGGTATTTCCGGAAAATGTTGCGAATCACCACCGTCGCCTCTTGTACGATGTAGGTAACCTTAGTTGCCACCAACTCGAGAAGCAGGTTGATACAGCGTCGAGCTGCTGGCTCAATCTTAATTGCCAACTTTCCGATAGCTCGCACTGCTTTCCGTACGAAATGAACATCAATCTCCGTAGCGTACTCCCGAAGCTCGGTCAGTACTTCGTCGATGTTCTTTTCATTGGCGAGCATAAAGATGAGCTCTAGCTTGGTAACTTTCACGTAGATCGGATCGTTGTACTTGCAGAAAAATACACGGATGTCGTTTCTAAGCACTTCGGGGCGTCTCTGCAAGATGAGCAGTGCATTTCGGAGTGCGAGATACTGGACTTCGGGGCCTTTGGCAAGCAGCGTGACCAAAGGAGGTGACAGCTTTTTGCATAGAGCGGACACCTGCTTCTCATCCGCAATATAGTTCATGAGATAGAGTATCACTCGAATACAAGTTAACACGACTGAAGAGTTGGAATGTGATAGACGAGGTGATATCCTCTCCGCCAATAGTAAAGCCTCGCCCGATTCTTGGGGGACATAAGATCCCAATGCTTCGAGAATATAGGTCTGGCCCCACCTAAGTTTACTGTTAGTTTCTTATTCTGGTGTTGGAGGTCTTGATACATACTCTGAACAATCCGGAAGGATAGCGACCATCTTGGAGGCATTCTTATAGTCGATGGTGAGTTTGATCGCCTCACTCCGCTCCCAGATATCCATCAGTCCAGCCAAGGCACTTGCAACCACAGTCGGATTATCATCTCGTAGCAGGGAGTTGAGGCGATCGATGAGATCCGACTGCTCAACCATCTGTCGATCGTGATCGTAAAGCTTGGCAACGCAGAATGCGGCGGTTTTGCGCACATAGGGATCAGAGTCCCTCAGCATCTGTTTGACATTAGGGACGGTTGCCTCCACAAATTCTCGAACATGAATGTAAGACATAGTCCTCAAGGCTAAGGCCCGTACGAGGGGGTTTTGATCTTCCATATCCTTGGACATGTTAGTAAACGTCACATGGCGACGACATATAGCTTGTTCTCACATGTTCTAAGAGAGGAATAGCCTTGACTGCTATCTCTGGTCGCATTCGGGCGTAGTTGACCAGGTACAAGAAACACCTAACATGGTGAGCTTCCTATTCCGCAATCGTCTCGTGGAGCGACTTACATCTTTTTGATCTCTAGACTCTGCAAATGCATACATCCAATGATATCGGGGAAGAGCGCCACCATGTCGTTATTGCTCATAGTCATGTTTGCGACAATCTTCTTGAGAGCGATCTTCTTCCCTCCGAAATTCTTCTCCTTCTTCCCACCGCTGTTCAACTCTTGGCGCAGTTCAGCAACTTTGCCCTGTCGAGTCGTTAGCCTGCTCCCCAGCACAGGAGGGGGCATATATGCAAAGAACATCATGGAGGGCGGGTTCGTTAT